ACTACTACGACTACTACGACTACTACGACTACTACTACTACTACTACTACTACTACTACTACGACTACTACTACTACTACTACTACTACTACTACTACTACTACTACTACTACTACTACTACTACTACTACTATACTACTACTACTACTACTACTACTACTACTACTACTACTACTACTACTACTACTACTACTACTACTACTACTACTACTACTACTACTACTACTACTACTACTACTACTACTACTACTACTACTACTACTACTACTACTACTACTACTACTACTACTACTACTACTACTACTACTACTACTACTACTACTACTACTACTACTACTACTACTACTACTACTACTACTACTACTACTACTACTACTACTACTACTACTACTACTACTACTACTACTACTACTACTACTACTACTACTACTACTACTACTACTACTACTACTACTACTACTACTACTACTACTACTACTACTACTACTACTATTTTTATTGAACGCTGAGCGAGCGGGCTCTGCTCATAGCGGGCGATTCTGAAACTTCGGGAGGCGCCATGCCCTTGGCTTGCCCCGCCCGTGAGACGTGCCGTGCCGTGGCCAGCTCCGCCCTTCGGACGTGCCTTGACCATTAGCCAAAAGCCCATTGAAACGTGCCGTTGCCAGCTCCGTCCTTTGGACCCGCCTAGCCAAGGACAAACAAGCCAAACAAGACCAAACCGAAAACAACCAACACACAAGCAACAAGACCCAACACGAACGTACGATCACGAGAAAAGAACACAAGGCAAGCGCATCCTTGGAATCAGACTTGCCGATGCCTCAGAGAAGGGAAAGGAAATGCCTACAAGGAATAGAGTTTAAAAAGAGGCCTGCTTGAGCTGGCTGTACAAAGCTGTAGAAACATCAGGCTCGCACATCGGCTTCAAATGATAACTGAAACTGCCTAAGGCCCAGCTCAGACTCACTCGCTTTTGACTGTCTCCGTCACCTGTGAATCATCGCGTCCGATACTCACGCACTGGTGCCGGTGGGCCGTACCCGGATGGGCCGACACCCTGAGTTCCCGTCTAGCGGCGTCCCACACTAGGAAACTCACGACAACCAGCGGAGGGCCGTAAGACGTTCAGCCAGTACAGGCCGTGAAGGACTGTGTCCTTGGATGCTCACAACTGTGTTGCGGCAGCGGCATATCGCTCATCAGAAAGTCTGTGCCCAGCCGTGTCGTGGAGCCGTACCATAGTGCAGAAACTGCTAGAGGGCGAACCTGCTCCTCGCCCCAAGAGCGAGTCCCGGCTCTCGCACCCCGCTGCAAGACAAGGCGTTGGTGACATGTTGGGGCCAGCATCACCCTCAAGCAGCCCTGCGCATGTAGCTGGTCGTACTTCAGAACTGTGGTTGCAGTGTCCCAACCTGCACCTTGTCCTGTAGACAAGACCGGCCCGGCGCCCCGTCTGGGGCCACAAGGGCACCCCATGTGCATCGAAAGACATCAGGGTGCTCAGCGGGGTCAGCATTGGGAGGATTACGTCGTGCTGAAGGCCGTTGGATAGCTTTGTGTTTGGCAGCTGTGTTGTAAGTCCGTGCAACCTTATCGGAGACTTCTCATCCTCACCAACGTTTGACGTTTTCCCCGGAGCAAGCAGCATGTCAGCTGCGCTGCAATCCCTTTCAACAGTATCCAAAGCAATACGTGACTGGGCTGTAGCTCGAACTGGGGGGGGAGGGGGGGGGAGGGGGCGTGTCGTGGCCAGTCACGTACTTGTCTGCGAAGCGGCTTTTGAGCATGAGTGTCTCGGAGAAGAAGCTGCCACTTCGCATTAACTGCACAGAAAAGGATTGCAGTGATCTCTGAGTGCATCATCCCGGGGAAGCTGCTCGAAGCACAAAAACAGGCCTCAGCACTGATACTTCTTGCATAGCAACCAGGCTCTGAAGTCGACCAATGTTGCGCTGCTCCAAGGATGTCTGTATGCTGCAGAACCTTTTGTAAATGGAAAAGTGTAGGCAGGAGAAATGTACTGAGGCGCGTTCGGCTCGCCATCCGCTTGTTTCCCCTCCAGAAACATAGATGATGAAGTCACTAAAGAGGGTACTCCTTCCACCTCGCGGAGCAGTGGAAACCCTACCGCTTACCTCTGCAAACTCGTTGTTCTCGGTGTGCGTGAGGCCCGGGAATTGGGACCCGGCGGTTCACAGCAGAGTCGACTCGTAGCTCCAATGGCAAAATGGCTCAGGCAAAGGCAGAATCCTTAAGCTTCTGCGAAGGCAGGGCCTGTTGCTGAGCACTAGCGCGTTCGGCCTGGAGGCTGGTTGACTTCCCAACTGCTGTGAACCGTGCGGCTCCTACTACTACTCCTCCTCCTCCTCCTCCTCCTCCTCCTCCTCCTCCTCCTCCTCCTACTACTACTACTACTACTACTACTACTACTACTACTACTACTACTACTACTACTACTATATACTACTACTACTACTACTACTACTACTACTACTACTACTACTACTACTACTACTACTACTACTACTACTACTACTACTACTACTACTACTACTACTACTACTACTACTACTACTACTTACTACTACTACTACTACTACTACTACTACTACTACTACTACTACTACTACTACTACTACTACTACTACTACTACTACTACTACTACTACTATACTACTACTACTACTACTACTACTACTACTACTACTACTACTACTACTACTACTACTACACTACTACTACTACTACTACTACTACTACTACTACTACTACTACTACTACTACTACTACTACTACTACTACTACTACTACTACTACTACTACTACTACTACTACTACTACTACTACTACTACTACTACTACTACTACCTACTACTACTTACTACTACTTACTACTACTTACTACTACTACTACTACTACTACTACTACTACTACTACTACTACTACTACTACTACTACTACTACTACTACTACTACTACTACTACTACTACTCTACTAGTACTACTAATACTACGACTACTACTACTACTACTACTACTACTACTACTACTACTACTACTACTACTACTACTACTACTACTACTACTACTACTAGTACTACTAACTACTACTACTACTACTACTACTACTACTACTACTACTACTACTACTACTACTACTACTACTACTACTACTACTACTACTACTACTACTACTACTACTACTACTACTACTACTACTACTACTACTACTACTACTCTACTACTACTACTACTACTACTACTACTACTACTACTACTACTACTACTACTACTACTACTACTACTACTACTACTACTACTACTACTACTGCTAATGTTGGACCCTCTTTAGTAGGGGCCTCCTCTTTAAAGTCAATTTGGCCGAATGATTCAGGACCCCCTGACTGTTTGCAGGGTCCTCTTTAAAGTCAAACCGTCCGGGCGCCGTAAGAAAATTCCACGTGGCGCGCCTTTAAAACAGATAACCGGGCATCTCTGCCCCTTTTAAACCTATCTAAACTCCTCCCTATTGAAATCATATAAGCCCCCGGGGCCGTGTAATCAGGCTCCCATCCACGCCTCGACTGTTCAGGGCGGGGGGGGGGGCCCTACACAGTAAAGAGGGTCCAACATACTACTACTACTACTACTACTACTCTACTACTACTACTACTACTACTACTACTACTACTACTACTACTACTACTACTACTACTACTACTACTACTACTACTACTACTACTACTACTACTACTCCTACTCCTACTCCTACTCCTACTCCTTCTCCTACTCCTACTCCTACTCCTACTGCTACTGCTACTGCTACTGCTACTGCTACTGCTACTGCTACTGCTACGACCACCACGACGACCACCACGACGACCACCGTGCGATCACCACGACGACCAACACGACGACCACCACGACGACGACCACCACCACGACCACCACGACGGCGACCACGACGACGACCACGACGACGACCACGACGACGACCACCTGACAACGACCACCTGACAACGACCACCTGACAACGACCACGACGACGACCACGACGACGACTACGACGACGACGACGACGACGACCACCGCCGCCGCCGCCACCACCACCACCATCACCACCACCGCCATCACTACGACTACGAACCCCTCTCGATGGGGCTTTAAGCTGGGACCCTGGCAAAAAGGCTTCGAAGGATTGCTTTCCAGGCTCTGATCGGGAGGCTTGCACGCCAGTTGCGGAAGTTAGGCTCGAGCTCCAACAGCTGCGTGAGGGGCATGTGGGGTTTAACTGAAAGAGTATTCATATCTCGTCAAATCATACCCATTCATACCCTACTGACGACATGCTCACCACATCAATGCATCCATCGCCTGCACTTTGCATTTGCAGCCGCTTTGTGCCTGCACTGGTGCCAAAGGACGCACCCCGCGATCTCCGTGTCCAGGAGAGAATCTTTCTGGGGTAGCCATGCAGCCGTGGGCAGCCATTCCCCAACCCCCCACCCCAGAAGACCCTCTATGAGTCATTCTGAGTCCTTCTAAACATCTGAAGGTTCAGTCACGGGCTACGGCGCCGAAAAAGACGCCAAGCTGCAAATCCAAACATCTCCACGCATGAGCCCTTAGCTTCGAGAGAGCCAAAATCAAAAGCCCCCTGGTTCCTTGCCAAACGCAGTTCGGTGTCGCCGTTCGAAATCTCTAGCAAATCAGCAAATCCCGCACTCTAGACATCTTGCCTCGACGCCCATGAACTCTTCAACAGCTCTCCATGGCGAAGCGCAGGCTCAGCGGCACGTTGGGATGCAGTACGACATCTCGCTGTTGAGGCTCCCCTGCGATGCAAATGCCGTAGACTCCGTCTTGGGCGTCTGCGAGACCACAGGATTGCGAGATATGATAGCCAGGCGAAGCCAACTCTGCACAGGAATTGACTATATGTTGCCCCTGGAAACATCCCAAGCCGCAGCAACGGCCCAATGGCCTGTGGACGTTCTCAGCATGAAGTTTCTATGGCTTCGTAGTCGAAGCGATAGCGCTCGCGAATCAGGCTGGCGACCTCGCTTCCTACCTGCGCCATGCGCTTGGCCTTCTTCGCAGCAGGAAAGCTCGGCAGCGGAGTGCAATGCCGGAAACTCCTGCACAGCGCATCTTCCACACGTCGCAGGGACTTCTCCACATCCTCAATGCAAAATATCACCTCACGCTCGTCTTTCGCAGGCGACTTGACGAACGCTGGCCGAACATGGTCCAGGTCACTTGCCTCGAACAGTGGAGAGGAAGATGCATTTGGGTGGAGGATCAGGCGAATCCAGGTCTCGAACACAGGCGACTCGTCTTTCGGAAGCAGGTGGCCCTTGTACTGAAGCCAGTAGCCGAAGAAGAAGCTTGACATCCTGGCCAGCGGATCCCGCATGAACACCACGCGCAGCCGGCCAGCCGCCGTGCGGCAGCAGGTCGGACAGAGCGCCATGGGCAAACCTATAAACATCTTCTCCAGCTTGTGCAGGGCCCTCGGGATGCTAACATGGGGGCTAGCTGGGCTAGACACTAGCCCGTGTTCCCTAGACAGGCTCGGATCCCACTATCATCTAGAGGTCACAAGGCATCGTTATGGGCAGTCATGGGTTCAGGATGTTTGGCTCGGATGCGGCCAAACCCGACCTCGAGATGGAGAACATCGTCAGATCAGGGGGACAGCCCATGCGCATCTCTTCGTGTTCGATCCACTCGCGTGCCCATCGCGCGATGCTGCTGCCCTCGTCCATCGCACTGAACGCTGCTGCCAGACTTCGACGGGCTGCCACGACTGCGGGCAACAGGCCTTCCAGCATGAAAGCCCACAAGGTGGAGGATCGGCTGGCAGCCTTCAGCGTGAACTTGAGAGCCAGCGGAAGCCCAGGGGGGCAATAGTACTGGCCAGTCTGCTGACATGAATGGCTCAGCACAAAGTACGAGTCTCGGAAATCATAGGGGAGTCCCAAGGACACCTGGCATCGGGGCAGCGAGTACTTGCTCCACTCGTCGCATCCGTCTTGCAGGCAAACCTTGGCGACCACTCGATGCGCATTCTCCACACATTCCGTGCGGACAGAGTGAAGAGCTTGGCTTTGAAGCTTTAGAGGCCCAAAGAGGCGCAAGAACTCTAGATCAGCCATCTCAGGTGCAAGCACCCCGTCCTTACCTCCCAAGGCACCAATTTCTGGAAAGATCATGGAAGTTCCCTCAGGACACAGCTCTTTCGGCACGAAAATGCGCAGCTGGTGGTCATTCTCTGCACCTGTCGGGACGCTCCCCACATGGGAAGCGCGCATGCATTGGCCAGAACATCGCTGGACAACACAGTGGGCATCCCCGGATGTTCCCGCGGCGCTGACGTGGAAAACGACCCACCCTGCCGCAGGCAGAACTGCATGCTGGGAGGCCTCGGAGGCACAGTTTGAGCAGGCCTCGTCAATGCCCCATGCCAACCTTCCCTCCGCAACAACTTCGCAACTGCAAGAATCACCGTCTCTGGCCTCCTGGAAACCTCCGCTGTGAACCATCCAGGGCCAATTCATACATCTCACCCATGGCCCTGCGTCCACCAGCAGCAGCTGCGCAATAGCAACGGCCAGCAGGTCTGAAGATGTCTGAGGCATTGCCTACTGCCTCTAAAGCCATGACAGCGCGGCCTTTGGCAAGTGACCTATTAAGCCATAAGCTGCTGCGAAGATGGAGAGGGCAGCACGACATTGTTCACCGCCACATGCAACTTACTCTATCCTCCGGTGTGCGAGTTCTTGTCGAGGCTCTCTGGATTGCCTCACAGTCCCGAGTAAGGTAAGGCGAGGCTTTGCAGGGTCACATTCGGTTCGCGAAAAGATCTTGCTCAAATTAAAGCCTCAGTCCGGAATCCATTGGGAACCGTTGCGCCATCAAAATCGAGACAAATCTTGGAGGGAAGGCCACCTCAGCTCGGATGATGCCTTTGTCAAGAAACCCCTTCGTCCACCTCAATGGCTACCATGTATCAACCGTTTCTAAACGGCGCACGTCGAACCCGCCAAAGAAGCCTGACCGCGAAAGCCCCCAACAGACAGGACAGCTCTGGGTCGATCATTGTCTAGCGTGCTTGGGTTCAGAGAGCTCGGAAGGTTAGGATGCTCAGGGGAGCTGGGAGGCACCCTGGCATCTTCGGCCACCTGGATGGCTCGTCTTCAAGCAAACTCTCCTCCGGTTTCCGAAGTGCTCAGCAGGCATTCACTGTTGCAATCTCTGGCTTTCACGCTTTCACAGACTGGTCAATGCGCATCGTCTCGTCGGGGTGATGTTCCACTGCCACACCGAGTCCATGAGTGCCCCCTGGGGCTTTGGGCTTTGGGCTTTTTGGCCTGATGTGAACGCTCTCAGCAAGAACTCATAGCTTCGTAGTCGAAGCGATAGCGCTCGCGAATCAGACTGGCGACCTCGCTTCCTACCTGCGGCATGCGCTTGGCCTTCTTTGCAGCCGGAAAGCTCGGCAGCGGAGTGCAATGCCGGAAACTCCTGCACAGCGCATCTTCCACACGTCGCACGGACTTCTCCACATCCTCAATGCAAAATATCACCTCACGCTCGTCTTTCGCAGGCGACTTGACGAACGCTGGCCGAACATGGTCCAGGTCACTTGCCTCGAACAGTGGAGAGGAAGATGCATTTGGGTGGAGGATCAGGCGAATCCAGGTCTCGAACACAGGCGACTCGTCTTTCGGAAGCAGGTGGCCCTTGTACTGAAGCCAGTAGCCGAAGAAGAAGCTTGACATCCTGGCCAGCGGATCCCGCATGAACACCACGCGCAGCCGGCCAGCCGCCGTGCGGCAGCAGGTCGGACAGAGCGCCATAGGCAGTCCAATCCGACTGTCGTCAAGCATGTGCAGGCTCCTGCAAGTACATTCAGGTGCGGAAGTACTGTCTCTGGTCTGTAGGAAAGGACCAGCAGTCCGATAGTTTCGTGCACCAACCAAACAAGAAAGCTCACAAAGATTAAAATTGTTTGGGCCACAGAACCTATTTTCAAATAATTTCGAGTGTGAAGTGGCGGTGGCAAACAACTGTGTGTCAATTCATTGGCCCCACCTCGATATGGAGAACATCGTGAGATCAGCATCACAGCCCAAGCGCATCTCTTCATGCTCCACCCACTCTTGCGCCCATCGTGCCACGTTGCTGCCCTTGTCCGAGGCGCTCAAGATCACAGCGAGAGTTCGGCGGGCGGAGACGATCGCCGGCACCAGGCCTTCCAACATGGCCGCCCAGACTGTAGCTGATCGGCTGGCGGCCTTCAACATGAATCGCAGCGCCAATGGGAGCCCAGGCGGACAATAGTACTGGCCGGTCCGCTCGCAAGCTGGGGAATACAAGAAATCAGAATCTCCAAAAGCAAAGGGGAGTCCCAAGGACACCTGGCATCGGGGCAGCGAGTACTTGCTCCACTCGTCGCATCCGTCTTGCAGGCAAACCTTGGCGACCACTCGATGCGCATTCTCCACACATTCCGTGCGGACAGAGTGAAGAGCTTGGCTTTGAAGCTTTAGAGGCCCAAAGAGGCGCAAGAACTCTAGATCAGCCATCTCAGGTGCAAGCACCCCGTCCTTACCTCCCAAGGCACCAATTTCTGGAAAGATCATGGAAGTTCCCTCAGGACACAGCTCTTTCGGCACGAAAATGCGCAGCTGGTGGTCATTCTCTGCACCTGTCGGGACGCTCCCCACATGGGAAGCGCGCATGCATTGGCCAGAACATCGCTGGACAACACAGTGGGCATCCCCGGATGCTCCCGCGGCGCTGACGTGGAAAACGACCCACCCTGCCACAGGCAGAACTGCATGCTGGGAGGCCTCGGAGGCACAGGCTTCAAGAGCACCTCCTTGGAACCTTCCTTTGGCAACCTCTTCACAGCTACAAAACGCATCGCTCTCGGCATCTTGTCGGTGACTGCCTCGGCCTGCTAGCCATGGCCAACTGGAACATTTCACCCAAGGCCCAGCGTCCACCAGCAGGATTTGCACAACTAGGACATCCAGCAGTGTGAATCTTTTCAGCCATCGGTCGCAAATCATGCATGTCAACTACGACATGCCTGCACTAGCTTAACCATCAAACGCTCCAAAACCGAAGCACCAATGTCACAACCCCGAAACCAACCTTCGCAAGAGCCGCCAAGCCGTGCAAAGTGCAATGACTCTATGCAATTCTCTCAGAGCCCTCCGAACTTCAAGTCTGTCGGACAAGTTGAACAGGGTTGTTTCTGAAGAGTGTTTTTGCTAGCCTTCTCCAAACTGCACGATCCACCAATCCTGCGCGAAGCTGTAAACATGTATGCGAAAAGGCAACAAAAGGTCTGGCAGACAAATCTTTCAGATTGCAAAACCAGAGACATTTTGTGTGTGCTCAACATTCTGTCAACTGTACTTGTTTCCTGTTTGGCCTGAAGCCAGCTCCAACTCCTCTTTTACAAAGCAACGAAGTCGAAGCATACACCTCCAACTGACACTGGTTGGACGTGGCTGAGGCTACAATGGGCCTACAAGGAGGCCTTGAGGGCATCAAGTTTCTCGAGGGTTGTGCAGTCGATGAGCCATTGAGGCACAGAGCTCAAAATTCTGACTTAGATTGTTAGCTATCATGAGCTGGATGTGCAAACTCCAGTGACTTCGGGCAAAGACTGCGAAAGCACGAAATGTGTAGGTACTTCTTCAAGAGCAGGCCTTGCGCATGAGTCTGTGTGCTCTAGTAAAGACACAGACACACAATGGATCCTTCTTACTACTTGAACCTCAAGCTTCACTTTCGTCCCGGCAAGTGGCAGCAGGTCTGGAGACTTTGTTTAGGTGGCCCCTGGCTCTGCCTGATGAGCAGCACCTTGGCAAAGCCCAAACGGCAAGTGCTTGTCAGCCTCCGGGGTACTGTGAAACGAAGTGCTCAGCTGGCCCGTGCTCATGCACTTTGTGCTTTCACCACAAGGACCCAAGCTGCTGAGACTCTTGCAGCTTTCGCTTACACGGGCATTTAAAATCTTACAGAAAAACCCGCACATACAAACGGAGTCACGAGGGAGTTGGTTTGCACAATGCTTCGTGGCGCATGCCCTTTGCGGACAAATATCCGGAATGTAGGATAAAATACAGGGACTGCATCATCCCTCGATGTCGAGTGGACATGAGTCCGGAACTCATTGGCTGATCAGCCGACTAAACATGTTGACCGGCTCTGCCATTCGGAAAACTTTCATGTGCTCACCACGGCGGGCATCCAAGTTCCTTACGCTGTTTGTTTTCCTTGGCTGTCGAAAACTTGGCCGCAACAAAGTACGGTACACAGCAAACCGCGGACACATGGAGCACTTGCCAGTGACATCGGCCACGCACAACACCGAACACAATGCAACACAATGCAACACAATGCAACACAATGCAACACAATGCAACACAATGCAAAGTCTCTTGAGGAGGCCGGAGTCCTTCAGTGTTTTTGTCAGCCTGAGCGCAATGCGAGAGATCTTGATTCTGCTGCCTTCAGAGCCTTTCGTGGCACATCGCTACGGCATCGCTGTGGCATCGCTGCGGCATAGACTACAGATATGTCGATTTGGCATGCGCACTCTGGAAAACTCGTACGTGTTATTTCTCTGATTTAGGCTGTGATTGGGGCCGTGGACTGGTGTGCGAATGTTCTGCGTTTTGTTGCACCAGCTGCGATTTTCCCGTGAATTGGCTGTGATGTTCATGTGATTATCCTGTGATGTTCCTGTGATTTTGCTGCGATGTTCCTGCGATTCTACTGTGATTGTTCTGCGGGTTTCCTGCGGTTGCTCTGTGAAGTTCTTGCGATTGCTCTGCGTTGTTCCTGTGATCTTCCGGTGATTTTGCGGTGGTTCTCCTGCGGTTCCCCTGATTTTCTTCTACAAGTTGGCACCAACTCCTGTCTCGGTCTCTGGCAGCTCTGCTAGCTGTTTACTCATATGTGTTGCTTTCGCCTAGCTGTGTAGCCATGTTCGCCTGTTCCTGGGTTTTGGCTAGTGGCCAGCGGCAAGCACGATAGGTCTGCACAAGGAACAAACATGATGAGAAGCTTACACTCTTCTTGCCATGAAACCTCTCAAATTAAACCAGGTCAGATGCGTCGTCCATATCTCGCTACTACATCTATCATACTCTTGGGGTTCGTAGAGTACTGGCATATAGTGGCCTTCGTCACAACAGCCCGGCCTCGCAACCTTCAAGTCCAAGTGCTTGAGCTCAGCACGCATCGCAACCTGGTCAATAGCTCTGGCAGGACCTCTGCATCGCAGAATGCCATTGATGAACTCCTCAGATGCACTTCGCGTCGCTATGGTGATTTACGAGCTCACCCTACAGGTTGTCAGCGCCAATGCGTTCGAGCCACATCGAGGGTGACCTCTCCGTCACCATTGTCAAGGATATGAAACAGAGCCGTACCTGTGCTAACTTCCCGTGAGTTAGACGACTGCGGCTGACGGCGTGGTCTGTTGTGGCAACGCATGGAAGAAAGAGTCGATGCACGGCGATGCAACGCATGTGCCTTCGTGCACATCCAAGTCCAGCGTCTGGAAATATATTGCAACCTTGGGGTCCTCCAGGATCTGGTTCAGACGCTCTTCGGTGATCATGCCTTGCCCCGAATCATCGATTTGCTTGAAAACGTTTTCCAATTTCTCGACGTACTCTGCCTGTCCAAGCACGCGGGTTTGCAAGTGTACTGTACCCTGAAGGCATCTCGGCTGCAAGGAAAATCTGCAATTGGACTTGCTCTTGGCAGCACGCCAAGGAACCACCTTCTTACCTCGACGCGACCCTTCTGCGCACACGCAAAAATGCGCATATGGCACAGCAAAGCACTTGAGCAGATCTTCAGGACAAGAGGGTGTCAACACTCGTCGGCAAGCGACTCACGGGCAAAACGGCGAGGCTGCGCCTTCTTGCGGAGGGCCTCTGCCACCAAGTGTTCTGCATCATTGTGGGCAGCATCCAGTGTGTCCTGATGCTGCAAGTATGCTGCGGAATGGATTGGCGCAAGCTGCCTTTTGAGGTGCTGAAAATTCCTAAACACCGTCGCTGCAGCACATCTGACATCATTATGGGACCTATATAAGCGTCACAACTCCAACCTGAGCAGGAGCAGAACCTGTCGCATTCCACACCTGAAACTGGCCAACATGCCGGCTATTGCGCCGAGCGGCTTTTAGAAATACGGCAGTTATCACCCGAATGACAGCGAACACAATGACTGTCACGTAAGTCAGGAAAAACAATGAAAACCTCAGCTCCGCACACGAGCTCCGCACACGAAATGACTGCAACAAGCTCTTGTCAAGTTCACAAAGTTCACAACCGACGACAAACCAACGCCAAGCTGTCAGGCTCACCATGGTCTTGTGCTACTCTTCGGCCCTATGCCAAATAGTCTAGACCCACTGCGGCACTGGGAATAGGTTTCCAAGCCGTGTGCTTCTAGGTGCCTTAAGAAAGTTGTCAGCATCGAAAGTTTCTTCCAAAAAAGTTGAAGGTAGCCTGCAGGGTATTCCGGGAGTTGAAGACGCAACTCACACGGTATCTGGGATGCAATGCCAAGCTAAGTCTGCACACTGTTCAACCCAATACCGGCACCTAAAATCCCTCCCCTGTACAGTAATTCTGTTGGCGCGATCTAAACCTGTGCCCGACGGATTGGAGCTGCTTTCTCTGTGCATGGTGTGGGTGTGCGAGGGGGGGTCGTTTGGCAAATGCTCTGATGTGTTGGATGGTGACTGTGGCCGCGCCATCTTCTGCCACCGACGAGCTCGGTTACAGAACCTTAGAAACACCCGCAGGTGGAACAAAACTGTTGGAACTGTTGGGGAAAGTACCTGGAAGGTGGCTCAGCGCTGCCAGTTCATCCTGCAGAGGCGTGCCAAGCGGAAGGTATCCTTTTGCTGCCCCCCCCCCCCCTGATGCCTGGAGGGACAGGAGCCGGTCACAATGAGTAACGCACAGCTTTTCTGAAAGATTGCATGCGTTTGCCAACATGTCACTGCGTCCAGTTGGTCTGCTTCTGCTTCGGGATCATTCGCTTGAGTGACCAGTGCAAGTGGTCTTTCTGGTTGGGGATGCCTCCGTGATGCATGATCCAGCTCTGGCGGTTGAGCCAGAGAAACAGCACAGGGGGCACAAGGGTTGAACCGCTTGTGAGTGTGTCTTTGTGCGGCGTTTACTCAATCAAACATACTGTGCCGCTTTCCCAACCACTGCGTGTCCTGATTGTCACATGCAAGACAGATTATCGCAGCTGGCCACAAAATGCATAGTCTTCAGGCTTGGGGTACACCATCCCGCCCTCCTCTCAAAGTCAAAAGAAAGTGTGCTTAAACTAGCAGAGAAATGGCATCAGAGAACAAAAAGGTATAACCCGCCGTGCATAAGAGTTGCGTTAACTAGATCACGTTGTCTGAGCATGTGTTTCATCACGAAGAGAAGAAACAGCATTAATCCTACGACCCAAGTCTGGTCTAGGCCCAGAGATCTAAACAAAGTCAAGGTTTAGTCAATGATAGTGAATGTGTGGGAAGCGCCTGACTGTGTGGCAGCCGAGGGATGCTTGGACTGCAGATTGCAAACAAGCTCATACGAGTACCCGCCTGTGTGGGAAGCCCCTATTGTGAGTCTTCTCTTCAACACAGGGGTCCACCATGATTTGGCAATGCAAAGGGGCATGTAATGATTGTGTGATGCATGCACTGAGCAGGCAAGGCAACTGCCCGAAGAGCCCTCGCGACGTTGCGGATTCAAAGCAGGTACGTCACGAGATTCAATCTCATCTACGAGTCTAAACCTTTGGGACGTGGGATGGATGCCAGGTGGCGCATGGGACACCTTATTCAGCACCGGTCGAGTATTCGTTGGCCAGTTACCCGCGAAGGTAATCTCCTCAGCACGCAATTTTTGGCTACACCCTGTCTGCGTGAAAGTTGTTCACAGCAGTTGGGCGAGCGCAGCCGACGAGTCGACATTGAAGCTATAACTATGACCAATGAATATCGACAAACTAACTTTGATCAGAACAGCAAGCACGTTGCTGGAGACTAATGGCACAATTGCTAACCTCAACCTGCCTTCAACCAACTGGTAACAAGCTTGCATGCACTCAAGAACCGAAGTGACGATTTCAAACTTGCAACCTTTCTGGCTGCAAAGGCTCATACACCGTGTAGAAGGAACGGTACCTCAGCATCCATGTTGCGGGGCTTTGGGTCTTGCACCAAGGTATGGGATGATGATGCCTGAAACTGCGAGTACCGGCATTGCAGTTTCCGGATTTGCAGAGGTGGCAAAGTTTCGTCAAGCTTGATTTTTCGCGTGACATAACAGCGTCGGAGCATTGTTCACCACAGCAAGGCATCATCTGCTTCAGGTAGGTCTGGCTACTAGTAACTAATGACATGGCTAACAGGTTACAGGCGAGATGTGCCCAGCTCATACCCCTGGATTTCTGCAACATCGCACATGGGTCCGGGTCTTGATCTGCGGCTTGTCCGCCCATTGCGCGCATTATCCTGTAATAATTGTGTGCATGCAGCATGCCCTCGTACCTGTTACTACGAATATGCCCGACGTCTTACTCGTGTGCAGTTTGCAAGGTTGCAAGGTTGCAGGTATGGGTGTGGGCAAGTGCGGGCCCATGGACAACGAACAGTGCGAACGAGTTCACAAGCGAGGCGCGCACGCGTGGCAGGTCATAGAGGTCATGAAGGAGAAAGAGCTGATCTGTTGCAAGCCGCCTGTCTTCACATCCCTATACTCTATACACCCCCCTGCAAACCTACACACATCACGGAGCCCTGGGGCCAGCGGCATTGTGTCTTTTGGTTTCCTCTGCTCGTTGATTGCGTGCCATTGCCATCACTTTCAGATGAGTTTGCGCTGCTTTGATCTCGAATGGTTCACGACACTGGTCCTGGAAAGCAGCGTACACAATATGTGCAACAAGGCAGTGCTCATTGGTGCTGACGAGGAATGGTCCGAACTGCTAGCTGACAAGAAAGGTTCCGCATACTACCTGTTGAATCTGGCTGCCTCGAAAACGAACGAATGCAAGAATGCCAGAAATACAAATCCCACCCTCCTCGAAGATCCGAAGCGAAACGAAAGCAGTCCGAGCAACGCAGTCCCATAGTGGTACCAGATCCTTGGAGGCTGCTTTGAGTCAAGTCTACCCTGCACTCGACGTACTCGCTGGTAGCACAAATGCATGATCAGGTAGCCACATGGCACAGGCCTGGTGCCGACAGCTTGGGAAGGTTGCCTCCTGGGCCCGGCCTATCCCTCATCTCCCATTGTCAAGATGACTGCTTGGGAGATTTGAGACTTGTCTGAGAGTCTTGGTCAAGTCCGGGAGAAACAACAAGTTACAGTGCGCCACACCGCTATGAAGGAGCTCATGCTTGCGGTGCTGGATCCTGCATGCAAATTCTGAAGTCCGGGCTCCCGATGAATAATTGCTGGCTGAGGTTCCACACACGATCATCAAAGTCTGCGCTGCTGTTGATGAAAGGTTGCAGAAGGGTGCCTAGGATTCTCTGAACGTATGGTTCCTATGCGGATAGTGGCGTGCTACATTCAATTGAAAGTAAAGCTGATATTCCGCGGCGCCCATTACCAATGAACCAGCCGACATGAAGACGGTCAAGAGCACCATTGCCCAACAAAGGGACGGCAAGAAGGCATGGCCTGAAGCATCACTAATCCAAAAGCGCAGCTGCAGGGTTGTTTTTGTGGAGGGGATCCTCAGCAACACAAGTATTTCGCAGGAGGTGGTCAAGGCACAACCCCCTGCACAAACAAGCACGAACTTGAACAAAACCGGACTGACAGGACAAGTGGCAAGCGCGCAGAAGCAAGCGTATCCCACGGCACAAGCGGAATGCTCCTCAGGTGGCCAAACACAACAGACTCCAACGAATCATATCCCCTAAACGGATGAGCGTACCTTCAGGACACTATGTCTCCCCAATGTGGGGCGATTATGCCAACATGATGTGAAAAAGATGAATGAAAGAGCAAGGTTCTCAGCATTCTGACAGCTCTCAGAGCTGTAACAGCCTGGGCACTGGATTTAGCCCTTCTTGGACGTGCTGTAACACTGCAACATACTGCAACAGACGCAAGTACCAACTCGTCCCTTCGAGCCCAAGCCTGCAGGACATGCCATTCAATAGATCTTTCAGAAGTCTGCGTGGACCTGACCACCGTCGCATTGAAGTACAAGTTCACCAAGCCAACAGCCTGACTTCAAGTTGCACGACTTGACCGGGTGAATGCTCTAGCTGCTCTTGTGGCTTTATGAAGATTCATATGCGACAGAGGGTGGCCCTCCTTCCTGAACCTGGCCATAGTAGGAGATCTCTAGCGGCAGCCTAGTAAAAGGCCTAGTCTGAAGGTGTCACTGAAAAACTTTCCAAGAGCACATATCGAAAGGATCTTGTTGATTAAGTAAGCCAGGTGTCCACGAGAAAACTGTCGAAGGCGTTTGAAATCGATCGAAAGTATTCGCGTCGCTCGTCGGCCACCAATATGATCCACTCGATTAGAAAGAGAATGTCAAATATGGAGTCAGAGTATTGAAACAAATGCAAATAAGGTGTGAAATCTGCACCATCTTCCATACCAAGTGCCACAGCTGCAGATCGACCCTTGAGCTCGAGCTCCAGCAGTTGGCTCAAGGAGCTCAAGAACACGAGGACACCCGCAGCACTGTCTACGTAGGATCGAAGTGGGAACTTGGTCCAGGGCTGAGTCTCAGATGGGCTGGCAGAGGGCTCGATTCCAGATTTGAAGCAAGATTGCTCTGTCGGTACTGGGTTCACCCTTTCCGGAACGCTCCCGGAGGGGCTGGACTCCAAGGAGGCCAGCGATCTCCATTGTAAAGAACCGGTGCTGGACTCAACGCCAGGGGTCTCCTGCCTGCCAGACTCCACCATCATCGTGGACTCCATCGCATCGTCAAGGCCGTCAAGCGACACCCGCTGTCCTTAACTTTAGCCGCTGGCCCACGTCATTGTCACAACAAAACTATTGTCAACGTGCGCCTACCAAATCCCGTCGGACTCTGGCAAAGGCTGTAAGAACTCTCGAAATAGTTGCAGGAGCCCTTGGTATGGGCTCTTCATCTGAGCCCGGATTCTGAAGCTCTTGCACACTCTGTAGAAATCAAGGGCCCATACTTTATCTAGTACAGAAAGTCAGGGACCATGTAAACGGGGGCCAGGCAACCATAGAAAGGCCCTGCATCCCCAATCCTATGGCGGCCCAAGTGCCTTTTTGGCTGGGGGTTCCACGATGGCTTTGCTCTGCAATGGCAGGAAGCCGGGCACGCTCACCACGTTCGCCTGACGAGGGGCATCTCACACTCACAGCAACTGACAAGTGCAAGCTGCAAACCCAAGTATGAACGATACCAGCCAGCCTCCAAAGCTGACAACCGCATGCTTCACTCCAATGACCACCTCCGGAAGTGAGGATGTCACTTCGACTCCGCTCCAAAAAAAATCCTAAAGTCAAGCCGCATGTCTGCCAGATAGTGCAGCAACAGAATCAGCAAGAATATACCACACTGCATTGATCTAGTCTGGGAGCAGAAGCTTCCACGTCAAATACGTTGAACTGATTTTGTCCATTTGTTTGCTCAGAACCTCGGACGTCCCTGCTTAACCACTAGGACGAACAGCAGCTATATGCACAGGCGTAGTAGACTCGAGGAACCATGGTAGCTCATTTCAAAGGGCACAAACATTGTGTTTGATGCAAATGTCAGCTTCCCTGGTGCACCTCCAGCTCGGCTTGGTGTGTATCCAACAAAGTCGTCAGCTGCAAGCGCTGCCGCCGCACGAGATCGCTTAACGTCTCCATTGGAAAGTCTCAATGGTCTCGGGCGTTCGAAAAGGATTCGGACTAGGATTCAGGATTGTATTGCTTTATCAGGTGCTTTGGGGCCGCTCCCAAGGAAGACAAGTGCCTGATGATATCCATGATATTCCTGGCTATATTGACGATATTGCCCAGCACCAAGTCAGCCAGTGGGTGAAGATGGGTTTTTACATTTCGCGGCTTTGATGAAGCCCAACTTGAGACGATTGCAGCTGCAGTGCCAAGCAAGATTTCATCTTTTTGGACTTTCGATCAAATGCTAACAAAAGCACACCAAATACTCCGTGCGAGACATGTATGGATAGAAATTCGGTGCTAACATGGAGTCCGCGTCGGACTCAAGCGCAATGGTCTGTAAAGAGGGCCGAAGCACCACCAAGCTTGACATGCTGAACGCTTGGCAAAAGTCGAGACTGCTGCGTGGCAGATCGAGGACCCGTGATCGGAATCGACACCATCGGAATTATTAAAGGACTACCTTCATGGACCATCAAGGCACGGACCCGCAGGGCCACACCAGTGCCAGAGCACCACTTGCATTATTCGGCCAAAATCGTCAAAGTTCCCTTGGGGCAGCTCATTGCGGTTCTTTCAGAACACGAAGTGTTGTGACTCTGCCAAGTGGGTTTGAGTTAGCCAATCTGTTTTCTCGCCCCAATTCCCCGAAAGTCTACATTTATTTACCTTGGGGGGTTTAGACATGTCTTGATTCACTTCCCTGGAGCCTCGGTTGTCGGGGCTTGATCGGAAACCTGTCCTTCTTTTTTCACCCCAGTAGTCGATAGTAGTAATAACAATAATAATAGTAGTAATAATCGAAATAGTAATAGTAATAATAGTAATAGTAATAACAATAATTATAATAGCAATAGTGTAATAGTACTAGTAATAGTAGTAAAAGTAATAGTAATTTAAAATAAGAATAATGAAAATAATCATACTAATTGCAGTAGTAATAATAATAATAGTAATGGTAATATAGTAGAAATAGTAATAGTAGTAGCAGTAGCAGTAGCAGTAGCAGTAGCAGTAGCAGTAGCAGTAGCAGTAGCAGTAGCAGTAGTAGTAGTAGTAGTAGTAGTAGTAGTAGTAGTAGTAGTAGTAGTAGTAGTAGTAGTAGTAGTAGTAGCAGTAGTAGTAGTAGTAGTAATAGTAATCATAATAATGCGAATAGTAGCAATAATGATAATAATTGTAATAGCAGAAATAATAAAAATCATAGTAGTAGTAGTCACAACCGTAATATTGGTAATAATAGTACTAGTAGTACTAGTAGTACTAGTAGTACTAGTAGTACTAGTAGTAATAATTATGACAATAGAAATACTAAAACAAAAATAACGGGAATCATAATAGAAATAATAATAATCATAGAAATAATATAATAATAGTAATAGTAGTAATAATAATAGAAGTAATAATAATAATAATGGATATCATAGTAATCATAGTAATACAAGTAATAGTAGTAATCATAGTAATAATAGAAACAATAATAATAATAGTAATAATAATTATAGTAGTAAAAGTAATAATAGAAATAGTAGTACGCTGAAGTGGAGAAGCAGCTCCATGTGAACAGCTGAAGCGAGGAGCGCCTCCTTATTGTAGTGGGTCCCATGTGAGGATCCTCTTCCCTTTCTTAACCTCCAGGAGAAGAACCTGCTGGAACGACCCTCTAGCATTGCTGGGAATAAGGAATTGCCTCCAGTAAAGTCCAGCTATGAGCGCGTGGTCGGCGGCCATCCTTCTTCCTGCAGCTCTCCCATCCGCTTATCAGCTCTGCCGTCAACCTCCCCACTTCATCTTGCAAAGATTTCAGCATGCTCATCACGCCCCCATCTGCTGACCTCCTCCTAAAATCCTAAACCACATCCAACGGAACGTCTGAGGTATTTGCAAAATGAACGCGGAACTTCACGTTGTGGGGAATGCAGCAAAGGAGCTTCCTGCTCCATGGCTTGCACCTTCCCATTGCTGAGTCCACAAGTCTCAGCTCTCCCACGGAATCGGCTCCGATTGATTAAGGACTGGGTGTCGTTGCTGCGATGGATGTGTGAATCCAGTACCTTTTCCCTTGAAAGCGCAAGCCCTGTCCGTCCTAAACCAAGCACAAGCAGCACTCGTCATTTTTCTCAGTCTTGAGCCAAAGTTCACGAGCGCGCAAAACTACAAACGAATTCAGTCGTGAAACGAAAAGTGCTTCAGAACAGACTCACTGCACACTCACTCAAAGTGGAGTATTGGGCAAAAACACACTTGTATGATTTCTTAGTGAAATCATCGAGACGAAAATCACAGAAGATAAGATCAACACGATTCCCACTCACTCCGAAGCAAAATAGTTTACAAGCGGATCTAAAACATGACTAAACTCTTCCAACCCCGCATTCTTTCAGGGGGTAGGCGAGAGGGTTTCCACTGCTCTGTGAGGTGGAAGGAGTACCCACAAGAAGCAAACGCAGCCTGTTTCAGGGGGACAAACTAGCGGATGGCGGCACCTTCGAAGCACCAAGACAATTTTCGGAGCATTCGTAAAATTGCATTCAGAAGAGCATGTACTTTAGTTTCACGCTGCTGAGTGCTTCTTACAGGAAGGGATCTTGACGTCGGTATGTGGAGAGAAGCGGCTTGCGCCCTTCCAACCTGCCAATAGCGGCACATTAATATTACTGTCAGAAGATACATGTTCCACAAAGTGTCGACCTTGAATGGTAGAGGCATAACTGCACCAGCTGTCGTCCAGCATTTGACGCCACACCTTAGTGGGCACTGCCTCCGAACACCCACTGATCAGTTCCAAGATGTTGTGGGTACGGCTGTCAAGAACGGCTGGAAGCTGTGCGACGAGGGGGGGACTAGTGACTGTGGATATCGTTTCTTATGCGCCGCGATGGTGTATAAACACCAGCAATGAACGTATCAACAGTGAATCTGCAAAAAGGCAGGAAACCCTGCTTGGAACCCAGGCGGCGCATGTCAAGCAAGCTTGGTGAGTATAAGCCCTTCTTGACTTTCAACAAGGGGTTGGACAGGCAGAAAACGCCTCCGAAGCAGAACATCCGTGTGCTCTCCATCAATGTGGAGCGCAGCAGGCTGCCAACCGCACAACATGAGGAAAGGTGGGAACAGCAACTACCAGAAGGGGGTGTAGCTTGGCTGGGCCAAAATTTCCTTTAGAAACCTGGAGGGGTGGCACTTGGGCCACGTGATGCTTATGACCTTCTATGCTCCTTTTGGGAACTTGATGCACATGCTGGCCGATTGGCACACGGCAAACAACCTGCAACGTAAAACTTGAATGTTCGTGGGCGACGCTAATGGAGCTGTGTGAAGCTGTCAAACGCAGCACGCTGCAAACAAACAAAAAAAGCTTTCTGTTCGAAATCGCAGGACTTGGAGCCTGAAGAGCCTGAAAAAGGATGCTTGTCTCCGGTCACAAGCCCTTGCGTGTGCCCCCAGCCCCCAATAGCAATGTTGGATACCGAAGGTTGGTCTGACATAACTCATGTGTTGCAACATTACCATTGGGAATCTTAACTCTAACCCGGACCTGGGGTTGTTCAACCCCTCCCATCCTCTCTACTTGCTCTTAGACTCCGTTAACAAACGGGGAGGTGCGCTAACCCTTTTTGGAAGAATGCAAAACGACAAGAACAAGGCTGTGCTGCAGGTGCCTGACGATGCTGCAAGCATTAAGGGGAAATTTAAAATAAGAGAGAGAAGAAAGGAGAGACTGTGATTTTGAATATGTCATTCGCTGCTTTTGAAAAATACAAGAAACAGAAACTGAGAAACAAGGGGTCTACTTATCTTAACTTCCTCTTAGCTTTTCGAACATGAACAAAGAAACAAACCAAAAAGTGGAATTTAGATAATTTCCGCTCCTCTGATTTCGAAGAATGAACACAAGAAACAAAAACGATCGAGGGGACTTGCTCTCTACTTTTCTTCTTCTCTAATTCTCAAACAATATGAGCACAAATTAAGAAATGACAGAGGTGGAATACAGATGATTCTCTCTTCTGATTTTGAATTTTTTCTTCACTCGATTCTCTGCAAAACAAGAAAACAAAGAACCAGAAAACGTCAAGGGAATTTAGAATGATTTTCTGCTTCTTGACTTCTTCTTGGCTTTCGAACAAGTCCATAAGAAAGAAGCTAAGAAAACGGAAGTGGTGAAAGGGAACGTTCCGTGAAAAAACGAAGGTCCCTCTGGTACCTTTTTTCTTGAAAGCACGAACCCTGACCTCTCACACAAGTGCGGACAGCTCTCTCTTTTTCACAGTCAGAGCCACTTGAGCCAAAAGTCACGAAGTGCACAAACTAAACGAATTCTCTCTTGTGAGCTTAAACTCAGCTTCAGAACGAAGTTCCTACACACTGCACACTCACGTTAAATAGCGTATTGGGCAAAAACACACTCGTATGATTTCCTTGGAAATCAACGAGGCATAAACCATCGAGGATGGGATCACACGGATTCCCAGTCACTCCGAAGCAAAACAAACCTATACAAGCTGATCCAAAACATGACAAAAACATCAATGATCAGCCACAATCTTCCACCCCCCGCATTTTGCTGAGGGTTCATGTCAAAGATCTGAAGTCCAAGCCCAGCTCGGCACTTCAACACTAAGGGGATGCCCTGGCCACATTCCCTTGGTGCGTACTCGCCACCAAACGAAACAAACAACACACCAGTCGATCTCTGACATCAAACTTAAAACTCATGCAAGATCCCACCATCAGGCAGGTTGTCCTGGGTCCACATCACTGGTAACCCAAGAGTTCGTTGTCCAAACACGTGAAAAACGAATTAAACTTGCATCCACCTGCACTGGGGCAGGGTTGTCTTGGAACGAATCCAAGAGTTCGTGGTGACAAACACGTGAAAACGAATTAATGCAAGCTTCAGATGTTTCCCACTCAGCACTCGACCTTGTCGTGGTACTCCTCCTCAGTCTCGCATCTTCCAGGTC